AGATAGAAAGTTAATGATCGGAAAACCACTAGTTATAAATTGTGGAGTTAATCCCAGGTCAACGAAGCACCGGGAATGTCAAAAGCTCTCATGCTTCATGTTTTTTTTCCTATGTATCATATATTTTTTCTGCATAAATAATATATAGTATGCTACTACAACTGACACTATGACACTACTGGGATTATCGACGTTACTTAATTATTACGTACATCTCGTTACGTCCTGATAGCGTCTTACATTTCTGTTAATCTTGGTAGCTACATTAAGTAACAGCTGTTGCTATAATAAGGCTTGTCATTTTATACTACATATTCATAAATAAAGAAAATATCTGAAAATATTGAAGCAAAGAAAACTGAATGGCGTTTTTTTAATCTTGGTGAACTTGACGTTTAGCAAAATTATGATATTCGAACATAAGTATAAATTTTGCGAATTTTTTAAGAACATTTTTTTTCTGGCGTGAACATTTTGTAACGATAGATGCCAGATAATTAAAATGTTGGTACATAAAATGAAATTGCGAAGCTATTTCGTATAGGAAATTGCATCGTTAAGGCAATTACGATGCAATTCTATTAACCAGGCATTGTGACACCTAAATTTTGACCAGTCTTTTAACCCTTAGTTTTTGAACATGCATTTTGAGCCTTAGTTTTTGACCATTCACACTGACCTCTAGTTTTTAACAACACATTTTGTACCCTAATGTAGAACATACATTCAGACCCTTAGTTTTGACCACACTAATTTGTGTGGTCAACTAAATAAATTAGTTTTGGCCCCAATAATTTTCACTAATAAAAATATGAATATAATGTAACGAATCTGTGATCGCAATGTCACATGTACTCGTCATATGGTCCTTTAGTTCAGACCTTCAGTCGTCCCCCCGAAGTTTACCTGGCGTATACTTTCAAAAAAAGGTAAGAGATCGTAAGTTCATCAGCCAATCATTGACGGCCTTTCAAGCAAAATCCGCCAATCATAGACAAGAAAATAGAGCGTAAGTACTTACGTTCACTATACTTTCAAAAAAAGGTAAGAGATCGTAATTTCATCAGCCAATCATTGACGGCCTTTCAGTCAAAATCCACCAATCATAGACAAGAAAATAGAGCGTAAGTACTTACGTTCACTTAGCGAATTTGGAAAGTATGGCCCCAGCTGGAAATTAGTTCGTCACTCGCAGCTAATAAATGTCTAAGGGGCGAAATATTTCGGTGCGTTAACTTAATAGTGCTGCAACTTAGTAGTCGTTCATAATTAATTTGACGAAAAATTTTCATGGTTTACTTGTAACTAATTTTGCTCATATTTTGTTTTTCTTTTGTCAAAATTTATAGTAGATAGCTAACATTTCCCACGTCATACCTGCCGAAACCGTGGTTTCAAAAGACTCTTCAATAAAACTCTTGTAAATCTGAGTGTCGAAAAATTCTCCTAAGCCTAGGGCTTAACAGAAACTCTGGTAGCACTACTAACCCAATTGCCTTTAAATATTCTAAGCAAAGAAGCACTGCGTAAAGAATGCATTGCACTACTTTTCACAAGGTATTGCATTTCTTTTAATTTTTCGTTGCCAGCGTCTGCCTCAGAGGCAAGCGTTACTCAGCCTCGCATTAGGTCATTGATAGAGAGATTACAACAGTAATTTTGATAATAATAAATAATAGATTCGAATGTGGTTCCATTTTATAGAACGAATATAAAAATTTGCAGATGTGTACGTGATGATATGATTTTGATTTTTCAAAGCGTATTTAATTTATTAATTTGCTCCTATATACAACGGAAGAATGCCAGACTTTCAAATATTTAAGCATATTTACGGTGTACCCTGCATTTAGAACGCCCAAATGAATTTCTACTCGATGGCTTAGTATAATATGAAATTTCTGTAGGCAGCCACACTCAAAGAATTAAATCTCTACTTTCTGCACTTGAAAGAAACAGACACTGTACGTAGCCACTTATCCACACTCTGAAGGTTAAATCTCAACGCTAGCTGTGCCTTATATTCGACAATCTCTTTGCATATCCTCATTCTACACCGACTCTGATAGAGTTGCGTCATCATATCAGCACTTACGCCACTCGTAAGATGATTTTGCGTACTTACGAAGTTTTGATAATACGGCCCCTGGAGGCTTCTCTAATTACAGGTTACCTTGATTGTATTTACTATAACTAAATCCAGAGATAGCTTATAGGCTTCGTCCGAATAGTCGCTATACTGGATACATGGCGTAAAGTTATACTGGGTCTGTTCGACCACCCAATCGAAATAAATTTCCTGTCAGAATATTTTTTTTCCGGCGAATATTTTAGGCGCATTTTCTCATTTATGGAAAAAAAGGCGCTATTATGCTCGTCATGTCCGTCCGTCTTTCTGTCCGTCCGTCCGTCCTAGACCACGTTTTCGTCGACGAGAAAATGCGCTCTCTGTCACTCACTGCATTGAGTACTGAGTTATATTTTTTTAGCATGAGAATAGTTAGCCGAGCCGTCATCCCGAGCCTAGTCATCCTTAGCCTATAAGCTAACCAGGGCCGATATTTTCAAAAAAGTTAAGAGATCGTAAGTTCATCAGCCAATCATTGACGGCCTTTAAAGCCAAATTCACCAATCACAGACAAGAAAATAGAGCGTAAGTACTTACGTTCACTTAGCGAGTTTTCAAAGTATGGCCCCTGAGCTGACCAGAGACAGCGGACATATATGGAGCGGCTGATTCACGTGCTTCCCGAGTCCAAGCTAGGCGGCGCCTGATTTAGATTCGTGCTTTCATCTAAATTGTGTTAGAGTAGCAGTCACACTTAACGTACTGCATTATTAAGTAACAAATTGATGAATGATCAACGAAGCATGAGCTGATAATTCCATTACATCAATTAACATTCATATTTTGTAGCAGTAACGTTCGGTTTCGTGATACAGGTACTTTCTTGGAATAACTATTTACTATTTATTTTTAGGTATCATACACTAATTTCCTTCTTTGATATCTATTTTTCAAGTCAACTAACCTCTGTATTTAAAGTGGAACTTTCATTGCAAAGGCTACGATAAATACGTTCAGACTGCAGCGTTCAGCTTTACGCGTTCAAACTCGAAGTCGCTGTCGTACTTTCTGACTGGCTTTTTCATGTTTCTAGGCCTGGGGCCATACTTACATAACTCGCTAAGTGAACGTAAGTACTTACGCTCAATTTTCTTGTCTGTGATTGGTGGATTTGGCTTGAAAGGCCGTCAATGATTGGCTGATGAACTTACGATCTCTTAACTTTTTTTGAAATTATAGGCCTGTTCAAATCAAATTTCTGTCGTCAGTTCTGCTTGTGAAAATCAATTTTTATTATTGTCTTATCAGTTAAGAAACGGGATATCGTTACTTCTGCATATCTCTCACGATGAGCGTCTTAACTACTGTGAAATATTTTATTTTCAATTGCACTCTAAATTCTCAACATGAATGTGCAAATACGTTGGTTGCATATCCTATTATTTTTATTTCGTCTTCCCTTTTGTCTTCCATTTCTGTTTTTTGTATTTTATTTATGCTCTAAAAAGATAGACTATATCGGATATGTTTTTTGTCTTCCATTTCTGTTTTTTGTTGTTTCGACTATGTTTCTAAAAAGATCGACTATATCGTACATGTTTTTTGCCGTGTGACAGCTATAAAGCCATTAGAAAATTGCGCACAAAGTTGTTCGAAGCTCCCTAAGGGCGCACGGAAACCCCTTACTTTCTGGTAACATTTTGCTGTGCCATTGGCAAGTTTGAGCGTTTTGGACGTACGTAATGGTCGGAAGATGTGTGCTTAGTCTCAAGAGTTTCCCCTTAAATCTACTGATGCTCATTTGAGCGAAAAATGTCACTTGCCGTCTCAAACAGTGTCTTCTTTTAGTTCATTCCTGGATGAATATTCGCCAATATTTGCGTAAGCAACTACTTGTACAAAGGAAATATTCATCTCTTCTCAAAGAACGCGTAAATATTTATTTATTGGCCTCATGCACTATGGAATTTTATTGAAATTTTTATCATTCACATCCATTCAAGTTGCAGTCAGTGAAACGCCAAAATATTTTCGAAATTAAAGTTTCAAATAATTTTTAGTACAAACGGACCATCGGAAAAAGTAAAACGAGATTACCTCTTTATTATTGAATGCCTATATTTGATTATGTTTGTGCCCGTGCAGGTTTCAATTGTTGATCCGAGTTCACTTGAATTGAATTTGTCGGAGTATTACTGGTTTGTTGGGAAACCGGAGCGTTTCAAGGAACATACAATGAACTAAATTACATAGAACCAAGGAAGAAACTCCAATACTCGACTGTTGTTGTATGGAAATCATTATTTACTCGGAGCTGCCGCTCATATAGATGCAGTACACTCAGACAAATAAGCAGACTTTGTCGAAATAACGATGCTTTTTAGCGCATTTTCTCATTTATGGAAAAAATGCACCATTGTGCTCGCCTTGTCCGTCCGTCCGTCTGTCTGTCTGTCTGTCTGTCAGTCCGTCTGTCCGTGACCTCAAGTTTTCGTCGACGAGAAAATGCGCTCTCTGTCAGTCACTGCAGTGAGTACTGAGTTATATTTTTTTGCCCTTGTGCATGTCGGTCGTTTTGCCCGGTAAAACTCGGTATTCTGTAGCTCCAAGTCAGCTTTTTGCTCGATCTGTAGTTAAGAAAGTGTATCACTATTTGGACAATAAAACCCAATTATTTTGTGAATGTATTCAAATGAAAGAGAAGAATAAAAAAAGACGTTGCATGCAGTGGCCGAAGAACAAATGAACTAAATTTAGCTTTATTTTGTATCAAAATAAAATCAGTGTTATTTTGTTCTCTTCAACGCCTCGATTTTATGGTGCCCAGTGAGTGTACACAGTGAAACTTGAATTTTCGGCTGGCTTTATATCAAACTTGTTTTATTTTTGCTGTTTCGAAAAAATTATCCTTGTATTTTATTTTCTATTTCAGAGCTTAACTTAAAAGTCATCTTGTGCTGCCCAGGCAGGAACCAAACCCGCATCAAATCTTAACCTTAATGACATCAAGATAGCATAACTCTCCTTGTTTAAATTATGTGTTCGTCCTAGACAGGATATGGACAAACCGTGTGTTCAATATAGTGTATTACACAGTGTAGTGTAGCATAACTCTCCTTGTTTAAATTAGGTGTGCGTCCTAGACAGGTTATGGACAAACCGTGTGTTCGACATAGTGTATTACACAGTGATTCATTATAGATCAGAACAAGAAACTATGGGGCTGTGTGGAGAGAATTGGAGGTGTCTCCATCCATACCATTTTTGGGTGTTGCTGCTGCTGCTTCCGGTTACTCCGTCTGCGAAAAGTGAGTTCATATTAACGCTTAATTTTGTTTCTTTTGTACAAATTTATAAGTAATCATATCTTGAATTAAATTGTCCCCGTATGCGAAAAGTGAATAGCGAAAGTGAATAGCGCAATTGTCCCCGTATGCGAAAAGTGAATTTTTCCAGTGGACAAATTTATACGTAGTTATATTGCGGATCCAACAGTCTTCGAAAAAAGAGACAATTTTGCTAATTATGTCTTAAATTGTGTATTTTAGGAGGCAATTACTACTTATTATTCAGTTTGAAGAGTACAACATACGTGGAAACATATGCATGACTGGAATAATTTCTTTGCCCATTTTAATGGATTCTTTATAGTCGACTAGTTTCAACATGACGTACATTTCCTATATATCGTTTATTTTTAGTCGTCTCTTTGACAATTGTAACTATATTATACACAATATTTATTCCAGTATTTTCCTTATGCTATTTATTTTTATTTTTATAATATTCTGATCGCAAAGTCTCGAGTCCCTGAGCTTCTCTAAGCCGCTCCCAGGCTTCGCTCGGTTCCTGTTTTATTGTGGGACTTTCTTCCCTGCAGTGCATCAGGTGTTACTGTGGGACTTTCTTCCCTGCAGTGCATCAGGTGTTACTGTGGGACTTTCTTCCCTGTAGTGCATCAAGTGTTACTTTCTTCGCTTAATACGAATCCAAAAATATTTTATTTGCGGCATTCGTATCTCAAGAGTTATAAATCCTGCTTGAAAGCAGCGACGCAGAAATGAAACGATTATAAATTCTAATATATAACTTATTTTTACATGCCATGAATGATAATTAAAAGCTATAATTAACCGTTATCGCATCTCTTCGCACATCCAGTTGAAATATTTCCCAAAATATTTCAGGGTATTCCCGTCATTCTTATTATACAATATCCCAATTACATCAGGATTTAGCATATACATCGCACTTCAACTCTAAAATTAAAGACAACAATTGCAGTATAATTTCATTTAAGCCGTATTTGTTTCCCAAAACAGGTAATTCGAGGTTCAATCTCCAATATTCTCATCCTTTCTACACTAAAGATCCTTTGAAGTGTTAATTTTCTTCATATTGTGCACACGAGAGTCCCTAATATTCGTGCAGTGGATGCATATACCAAATGAATATGTTCACTACAATGGAAGATCATTTGATTGATTCTATAGTACCTATAGTCATCGTAGTTATTGATGAAGCCGCGCTGTCGGGTGAGATTGCTTCGAATGATTTATTTTGTAAACAACTATATACGCTCTCTATTACTTATTACAACCATAGTGAATGAAATATCAAAATATCGCATGACCCATTTATCGCAAATGAGCGATATTGTCCATATAGTGACACGATTATACCTACCCATATAGACCGAGCAGAGAAGAAATATAGTAAGATACAACCATTTGTCGGGCAAAACTGTTAAAAACAAAAACTGTCCGAATTAACCACTCACTCAAAGTAAATAACTCTTTTGACAAATTATCTCTCATTTCTCTGCGTGTATAGACTTGAATATCTACGAACTCTATTGCCGATGCCGCTTTTCACAAGCATGGCGTGGGAAGAGCAAATAGATTGAGTGCGATGTTAAGATTCATCGAATCTCGACCTCCATTCACGGCTGGACCGCCAAGCATACCGCCGCCGCCGCCGCCGCCGCCGGCGGCGGTTATGGTGGTGGTCCAATTATTAATTATTCACGTCCCCGGCGGCGGTCGGTGCGGTGTTCCCGCCAGCGATTCGGCGATCGAGAATCGTTGGTTTATTATCAATGGCTGTTCTTGATTCGGCCGCCTCGTATTCGGCGATAGGATTTCGCCCTTGAGCGTTGAATTCCGTGAGAATTTCTGGGATTGGTGGAATGATAGTCCTATGTACACTTTATTGATAAGTTTTAATCCTTTAACTCCAAATTGAGTGAGAATTTCTAGAATTGGTGGAATGATATTCTTATTCTCACTGATATTTATTTAAAAATGATATTCTTATGTACACTTTGTTGATAAGTTTTCATCCTCTAACTCCAAATTAAGTGACGATTTCTAGAATTGGTGGAATGATATTCCTATGTACACTTTGTTGATAAGTTTCAATCCTTTAACACCAAGTTAAGTGATGATTTCTGAAATTGGTTGAATAGTATTCCCATAGTATTCTATGCATACACTTTGCTGTTTAGGTTTTATCCTTAAACGCCAAATTTAGAAAGAATGTCTAGAATTGGTGAAGTGTTATTCCTATACAAACACTTTGTCGTTAAGATTTAACCCTTGAACGCAAAATTTCTTAAGAATTCCTTGAATTGTTGAAACGATTTCCCATCTACACTCTATCGATACGGACACCCATGATACCCGCGAGCTAATTAGTTAGTTACGCTTGAGCAACACGCACGCGCAGGTCCCGAACTCCAATAATGAGATTTCATTTAATTACCAAAACAATTCCGTTACGGCATTCAGTTGCTAAAACATTCCAGTTACGACATTCAGTTGCAAAAAACATTCCAGTTACGACATTCAGTTGCTAAAACATTCCAGTTACGGCATTCAGTTGCTAAAAGTTGACATCCAGTTGCTAAAACATTCCAGTTACGGCATTCAGTTGCAAAAACATTCCAGTTACGACATTCAGTTGCAAAAACATTCCAGTTACGACATTCAGTTGCTAAAACATTCCAGTTACGGCATTCAGTTGCTAAAACATTCCATCCAGTTACGGCATTCAGTTGCTAAAACATTCTAGTTACTTCATTAAGTTGCTAAAACATTCTAGTTATTTCATTCAGTTGCTAAAACATCCCAGTTACGGCATTCAGTTGCTAAAACAGTCCAGTTACGGCATTCAGTTGCTAAACATTCCAATTGCCGCATTAAACTGCTAAAATATGAAGCGTGTCTAATAGCATTGTCCAAATACGATTTAAACATGGCAATTCAGGCGATTTAAATGAGGAACTGTCGTTAGAATTTGTGTTACCACTTCCGTCTATTTTGCTTGCTGGTAACCTCATTAAGTTTCTCGAACCAATTGATTGCCCCAATACTTTCTCAGTGTCTCTGTTGGCCGGGATTGATCGTTCGGTGCTTCGTTGTGCAATGGCAATCTGGATTGTCTTTTTCTTCTGGCTTATCTGTTCATTAATTGCATCGCTGCTTAACGCAGTCTGTCCTTTACGATGAGCTTCCAAGGTTTGCAATAAGGCAATTAGATCGCTAATGTCCACATAAGTTGCCAGTCATTGGATCTAGATTTAATTTCATAAGGTTTATTGGTCAAAAATTTCGACCCTTGTACTATTGGTCCTATATGCGATGAAAAGAGCAACTTGACATGGTAATTAAATATCATATAAGAGAGTTAGCTCCTTCAACACATAAAATTTTCTTTTCAACTCAGACGTACTAGAAATCTTCTTTTGTTCACATTGCCTAAATGATATTCTGAACGTAAAAGGACCAAATTTAAAACGTTATCCCAGCATGCTTAATTAGAGCTAGAAGAACATTTTTTCGTGCTAATCGTGGAAAAAGCGTACGGATCATAATTATAATTCACCCTGTAAATTCTACTGCCTTTTAGGTACTACCGTAATTCATGTGGAGAAATGGTCCCATAAAATTCATCTAAAACCATTTACCTAGCCTTATACAGAGGATTATATAGTGTTTCTAGGTTCTAGTTACCGAAGCATGACTAGCGGAAATAAAGTGTTGCCGTAGTTCTGTCACCGAACTTTGGCAGCCCCCTGATCGAACTTGCGTCCGCACTCGTCCTGAACTCCGGACCGACCGCAAAGTCGCTCAAGTCCGGGTAACATTTGTTCCCTTGAGCTCTCCAATCATTGCATTACAAAGGGAATAAAACCAAGCTCGCTGCCTCTAGTTAGTGCGAGAGCTTCTTCTCTTTCTGTGGTTCATTTCAACTTAACTCACAAGGAATTTCAAAGCAAAGAGAAGCGAAGAAAAGCAAATAAACGTTTTCAATATCGATATGGTGAATTTTCTTGTCGTTTTCTTTGCTTTTAAATTCCTTGTGAACTTGCGATATAAGCAGGCTAATAATATAAGAACTTAACTCACGTGATTTATCTGTTGTTGTAAGAGCTCCTTCCTAGACTTATGCTGTGGGTTATTGTAAACTTTACTCCCGGATTTTGAACTTCAAAAAGATTGAATTGTTTTGTTTTCAAGAGTTATTGGGTACTGATATCAAATAGTTTTATCAATTCAAAGAAAACTTCGCGCTATGCAATGACTTTTTTAATGTAAATCGCTTGGTTTTCTTGAGAAATAATAGGAAGATTCAAGTGTAAACGAAATCTTATTGAATTATATTACTGTTTTGAAGCAAAAAATGTCGTGTACTGTTTCGAAAAAATGAAATTTATAGAGTTTATTGTTGGAATAGATAGATCTCTCAACAACTTGACTAATCGATATTGTATATAGAAAATGCTACTATAAAGTTATTCTGAGATTCATATAACACCTGGAAGACATTTTCTACTAATAATATTGTTTGAATAATAAAAAGACTATTATTTTTAATTGCTCTGAAACAATAGATTTCTTACACTGCAAATTGTTCGTCAATTTCTATTTTTTATTTATAAAAGTTTTTTATTTTTTAACGAATGTATGTTGTATTTCAAACCGGGAAAGTGAGAACTTCGACAGCATTTGGAAATTATCGCAATGTATACCATATCTTTTACTGATAAATAATGAAACACTCACCACAAATCCCGTGTTAAAAAAGTGTCTCTAAACTACGGCGTCAAGTGCGTGGTATGAACAGCAACCAGCATTTCTGTTACGACGCCTCGGGGTAATTACGTTATGATGCAAATGGGCGCACGTTAAACGATCCACTTAACGTCATCATCCTTATACCCTGTATTGTGTCTTGCGTCTCTATGTCTTCATATTGTACCAGCTATGTAGAGCGCACGCAATTATTTTTATTATTGTAACCATAG